AATGCCCCGTCTACATTTAGTTTGATCATACCATGAGGTGGTCTACACCACTGTTGTTGGTGTCTAGAGTGACTATCTTGGCGTCCAGAATGAGTAATGGGAAGGTGTGGAGCAGCACAAAGTGTGGTATAATAGGAATTAGCTTGTAATAAGACGGTGGCTGGGCTGAAAACCTTGTGATTGAAGTAATGGTCATTCGACACTTCTAAATGTTCCACATAACTAAGGACCCAAGATCATATCTTCATTAATTAGATGAAGTTGATCCATTATCGGAAATAATTTCCCAGGAATTGCAAAAGGTGCTCCAATTACTACGCTTTATTTTTCAAAGTTCAAACCTTTGGGCCATGAGAACTACTTTCTTTTCTTTTTGGTGATCAGATTCCATTGTACTAATTTGGATAATTACTACCTGTGAGATGATTGACCTGGATCTTTCAAATCCTGTAATTTTATATTTCTTCCATTCACATCTTCACACTTACAGACTCAGAGATCAGCTAGAACTTGTATCAAGTTTGAAGAATGTATTTCATTCCATCATCCACCCATTTACTTTAAATTGATCTTTTCACATGTAAATCTATTTTGCAGGTTTTCTATCTGCATTTTCATGACCATCAGCAACAAAATTACAATGAACCAATGGCATGAAGTAATTGATGGCCTAGAGGATTTGCTGTATAACTAGTCCAAGGTTAGTCCATGAATCATGACCATCAGCAACAAAACTATAATGACAAGTACTTGCCGGGAAAATAACTTCTTCCACCTGTGATGGTGGTGGTGACCACAATCCTGCTTCAACGACATCTTTGCTCACTGGTTTCTGTCTCAGATTGCAGGAAAATCACCTTGAGTTAATCAGAGGTAGTGAGCTAGTTATAGAAATCCGTATCTCGCGCCAACAAATTTATAGAGGGAATGAAAGAAAGGGAAAACAATAGGTTAAATAGGTTTTAAGAGAAAAAGGCAAAAAAAAAAGAAAAAAAGTTTAGTGAGATATTTTGGTAATTTAACGCATTCCGTTATCTGACTTAACGGTCAAGGGGGGTCTTTGTTTATGGTCATAGTACAGGGGGGTCTTTGTCACAAAGCAAAGGACAAGGGGGTCTTTGTCACAAACCCTATAGTATAGGGGGTCTTTGTAATTTACCCAAATACTAATAATAATAATAATAGTTTCAAATTAATGAAAAGGAGAAAAATACGCATGTGCTTATATCATTTGGAGCATCTTTGTTTGCTTAATCTTCTTTTGTCATTTAGTGACCTTTATTTAATTAGATATCATTTATTTAAGTAGTTTTTCTTTACTTCTTATGGAAGGCTGTTGTTGAAGGGGATGAGAGATCCATCGTATGGACGCCCAAATCTTGTAGAATAAAGGGGCGAATTTCAAAAATTTTTCTCTCCCTTTCAATTGGGAATCACATTCCCTATTTAGAAAATCATATTTTCAATGATCAATCTTGAACCATAAACTGAACCAGATCTGAACCAAAAGGAGTAGGAGAGGATTATACCTGATGCGGAGAAAAAGTATCTCCCAATGAAGGTGTTCACACCCAAGGAAGGATCCAAAAACTGCTCCCACTGAAAATGACGTCTGCTCCCACTAAAAATGACGTAGTGCAGGATGGAGCAAAATCAACAGTATTCTTCTCCAAGAATTCTGTCCTTCGTAAGAAACAGCAGGATGGCATGTGAGCACAGCTTCCTATCAATTCTTTCTCAAAGAACTGATGTCAAGATCGAATCTTGACTTCTCCCACAACTAGAGATCGAACTGGATGTCTGGCGGCTGCGGGAAGGAGGCGGCAAGAAAGATCTTTGCAGGGATTGCAGAAATCTTTCTTCTCTGATTTTAGCTTTGAAGAGGATCTGATTATGTGATTCTTCTTAAGGCTGCCGCCCCCTCCTTTTTGTAAACCCAAAGGATTAGCTCCTTATCCAATTAGGAGCTGCTGATCCAAATCATATTTGGATCAGACCTCTCTTTAGGTGATAAGGATAAACCATTATCTTATCTGCAGATTAGATCAGCCCTCTCCTAATCTCATTAGGAGG